CGACAGACGCCCTTCCTTTCCGTGGAGCCCCGGGGCGGCCCCGCCACGGCCCTCTGCCCCTGGCCTGCAGACTCACTTTCACCCCGGCCCCGTCTGACAGGCGCGCCCAGCCCTTGGGGAGCCTTCTCTCCGTCCACGTCCTCGCGGGCCCTCCAGCCCGGCTCTTCTCGCGCCTTCCCCTGGGGCTTACACTGAGGAGGGGACCAGCCTGGCCCCCTGCCCTATTGTGTCCATCGTCGGCCTAGCGGACACACAGCCCCTTTAGCTGATCGTGGGGCTCCCCGCTCTTGAAAAGATTAGACCGTGAAAGTCCACCCTTGACCCTTTCCCCCTCTCGCCTCTCACCCCTGAAGCTCCCTGACCTGGCAGTTGTCTAGAAACGTAAACCAACTTTTGTGAGTCCCGTTCCACCTGTCCCCAAACCCATCCATCCCCACCGGTCCAGGCTCCCCATTCTTACCTTACCCACCCCTGCCGAGGCTAAGCTTGGCACGCAGGACCACCCCAGCAGTTTCTGCAGACACCGCACCTGCCGCCCGTGGCAGAGGGGCGTTCCTCTTGTCTTTTGCTCCTCACCTCTGTGCCCGATCTGGTCTAACGTTGTTGTCCTGGCTGCCCCCCCACCCCCAACCCCCAAGACTGACAGAAGCTCCCAGTCTCCTGCTAAGGTCTTCACCTGAGACCCGAGGAAAGGGCCACTAAGCTCAAGCTAGCATTACCTCTTCTGCCCTGGTCACCTCCCAGGGGTGTACACTACGTCTGCTGTGAATGGGTGGTCTGGGTGACCCTGCCTCATGTTGGTACTTGGGGTGATGAGTGGAGCCCCTGCTTTCTTTAGCGGGGGGCGGTCAAAGATGAGTACGAAGGGCCCCCTTCTCAGCCCTTCTGGACTCCAGGTTGGCCTGGGCTGAGCCCATCTCCCCAACCCCATAGGCCTGGGTTCTGAAGAGAACACAATGGTGGCCGTGGACCTGGGCTCCCCCTTGCTCCCCAAGAAGAGCCTGCCTGTCCCTGGGCCCCTGGAGCAGGTTGCCAGTCGGCTGAGCAGCAAGGTGGCTGCAGAGGTCGCCCACGGCAGCAAACAGGAGCTGCCGGACCTCAAGGGTGAGTGGCCCAGGCAGCAGGTGGGGTAGGGGTGCTGGTCACACACTCTGGGGGCTCCAGGCGCTAGCATGGGGCCTTAAGGTGGCCTCACTTTCTCTCGGGCCCCCTGTGGCCGTGCAAGGAGGGCACTGAAAAGCAGTGGGTGTGGTGGTCATGAACATGGCTCCCACTCAGGCGGGGCCACTTGCCAGCCCTGTGTGTTCTCCCCATGCATTCCTGTGTGGTTGTCCTGAAGGCCCCGATCCGTCCGTCCGTTGGTCTTCATTACATAGTGATGGTCACTGTGCTGCGAGAGACTAATCACAGGCATAGGAGGCGAATAAGCGGGCTGGACTGCAGCCTGCAGGGTCATTAAAGTGAGCGGGCAGCAGTGCAGATAGGCAGGGGTGAGGGCTCTGCAGGAGAGGACTTGGACCACAGGGACCAGGGGCCCTGGCCTACCACTGGGCACAGGCCAAGCCACCTGAGAGAACTGTTGGGTCAAAGTTTGCGTGACACCTGTTACCAGGACCCCTACTTACATGGGAGATCTGAGAGGAGTCCCTCCCAACAAGGCACAGGGGCCTCCCTCCTGCAGGACATGCTTGGTTACATCTCTTCCCCTCTCTGAGACTCAGTTTCCTTATTTGCAAACTGGACAGGCCCACTTCCTCTGCAGTAGAGTGGTTGTATGTATTAAGGGAGCTTGACAATAGTAAAAGGCATTTAGGGTCCCTGGATTGCATGGGGCTGGGGTATGGCTGTGGGTGCACTGAGCCCTGGTGGCCTCACAGTCTGCCCTCCGGGCCTACGTCTTGCCCTGCAGCCCAGAGCCTGACCACCTGCGAGGTGTGTGGCGCTTGCTTCGAGACCCGTAAGGGCCTTTCAAGCCACGCACGCTCCCACCTGCGGCAGCTGGGTGTGGCGGAGTCAGAGAGCAGCGGTGCCCCCATTGACCTCCTCTATGAGCTCGTCAAGCAGAAGGGTCTGCCCGACTCCCCCCTCGGGCTGCCCCCAGGCCTGACCAAGAAGTCCAGCTCGCCGAAGGAGGTCATCACCGGGGCCCCTCGGCCTGGCCTGCTCGCTCTGGCCAAGCCACTGGATGCCCCTGCCGTCAACAAGGCCATCAAATCACCACCTGGCTTCTTGTCCAAGGGCCTGTCCCACCCTCCCAGCTCCCCACTCCTCAAGAAGACACCACTGGCCTTGGTGGGCTCCCCAGCCCCGAAGAACCCTGAGGACAAGAGCCCCCATCTGTCCCTGAGCCCCCGGCCGGCCTCCCCCAAGGCACAGTGGCCCCAGTCGGAGGATGAGGGGCCCCTAAACCTCAGTGAGTGTGGGTTCCGGCCCCGGGAGGGCTCGGGGTGGGACAACAGGGACTGCAGTGCTTGCATCCCAGGTCAGCCAGGCCAGTGGGTTAGTCAGGGTGGCTGACTCTCCCTGTAGGCCACCTACAAAGGACTGTGTCCCCCACCTTCCTTGTTGCTCCTGCCCTAGGGTCTGGCCCTAGCTGCTGAGCCTGCCAGGGGCATCCTCACCACCTAGGGGCAGCTCTGCCGTCCCCGGGGCTTAGGTAGGGAAGGGAACGAGAGCTGCACCTCGGGTCCTGCAGGCACACAGCTGTGTCTGAAGGTGGCCTGGTTTCCTGGCCATCCCATGCTGGAAGCAGGTGTTTCCAGCTGTGTTTGGCTGGTGCTGCCCCTGTGGGCTCAGCAAACAGGGCTCAGGTAGAAATGCTGTGAGCACAGTGGACAGGGGCTGGTGAGGGTGTTTCTTAGAATGATGAGTCTCCCACACATAGAGGGGTCAATATTGGAATTGGGGTGTCCCTAGGACCCAGCCTCCTCCCCAGTGGGGTGGCGTGTTGTCCCCTCAAGCTCTGCCTCCCTGTCTGCTGAGATTCCAGGAGCTGGACTTTGGCCAGGTGTGCCTTTGGCTGTGGGATCCAGCCAGGTGGTACCCCTGCCATTGCCCCACATGACTCCCAGCACCGGGACCCCTGGGGGTGCCACTGCCTCTCCATCCCAATCCCTAAGCTCGCCATCCCCCAACCCCCCGTACCCAGAGGTTAGGCTAGGTAAGGACCAGGCCTTCCAAAACCTTGTGGTCCCTGTGTGGCAAAAGTGATGGACCTCCCCATCCCAGACTGCTTGGCCGGCAAGCGTCTCCGCAACCCTCCGTCCTCCAAGCCCAGGGCCGGCCGAGGTGGCGGCCGTGAACCCCCCTGTGTTTTGTCTCCGCAGCTTTAGATAGTGACGGGGGCCGAGAGCTGGACTGCCAGCTGTGCGGTGCCTGGTTTGAGACCCGCAAGGGCCTGTCCAGCCACGCCCGCGCCCACCTGCGCCACCTGGGCGTCAGCGACCCGGACGCCAAGGGATCCCCCATAGACGTGCTCCACGGGCTCATCAGGAGGGACGGCGTCCACCTCCGCCTCCCACCGGGGCGCGGCGCCATGGCCCACCCTGGGCGGCCTCCCACCTCTGCGGCCCTCTCATTGCTCTCTCCCCCACCGCCGGCCAAGAGGGCCAAGCTGAAGGCCATGGGTGCGGCCGGCCCCTGGGGGAAGCAGGACTTCTCGGCCGCCGCCACTGCTGGCATTTTCTGGGCCTCTGATGTGGAGCCGGCTCCTCTCAACCTCTGTAGGTTCTCGCTTCAGCCGCACCCCCTCCCTGCGGGCCCTGGAGCCCCTCCCGGGGGGTCATGGCCCCCTTCTGGCAAGGGCAGAGCAGAGATGGGGGCCCTGGGCAGTGGCCCAGCGCTGCCTAGAGATTTTGTTGGCAGTGGGCTGCTGGGCCCTGGCTCTTGGCCTTTGATCTCTGTGACCTTGACCCTCCCTGAGAATGAAGGCCAAGGGGCGGGTCTTGCCCTTTGGTGTGGAACATGCCCACGGGCGCCCCCGACCTGGAAGGCCTGTTGCGCCTAGAGGCCGCTTTGCGCCTCCTTCCCTCCTGTCCTTGCTGACACACGTCCTCAGAGCTGTGGAGTCTTGGTGCCACCCCAACCCTGCTCCTCAGCCCCTCGCTTGCATCTTCCCTCCACCACCACCACCACCCCACGCGTAGGCAAGCTACCGCCGCCACCCACACCCAACTGACCGGGATGTTCTGCAGGTGGCGGCACTGCCGTCCCCAGCCGCCCCGCCCCTGTGCTGACTTGTCCCTCTCTCCTCCCCTCCTCCCACTGCAGCCTCAGGCCCTGAGCCCACCCGTGACATCCGCTGCGAGTTCTGTGGCGAGTTCTTTGAGAACCGCAAGGGCCTGTCGAGCCACGCGCGCTCCCACCTGCGGCAGATGGGCGTGACCGAATGGTATGTCAACGGCTCGCCCATCGACACGCTGCGGGAGATCCTCAAGAGACAGCAGGCCCACTCCCGACCTGGCGGACCCCCAAACCCGCCAGGACCCAGCCATAAGTCCCTGGCCAAGATGATGGGCGGTCCAGGGAGCTCACTGGAAGCCCGGGGCCATGCCGATCTGCACCTCTCATCCCTGGCCAAGAAGTTGCCGCCGCCACCAGGCAGCCCCCTGGGCCACTCACCAGCTGGCTCTCCACCCCCTACTGCCCGGAAGATGTTTTCAGGCCTGGCCACCGGCTCCCTAACCAAGAAGCTGAAGCCCGAACAGATGCGGGTGGAGATCAAGCGAGAGATGCTGCCGGGGGCCCTTCACGGGGAGCCTCACCCGTCTGAGGGGCCCTGGGTGGCATCTCGGGAAGATCTGACCCCCCTGAACCTGTGTAAGTGACCCTGGGATGGAGCAGAGACAACAGCGGAGGGGTTTCCTCGCTGTCTCCTTGAGTACCTTGAGCAGAGGTAAAGTGGAATGGGAGAGACATGAACCCAAAGGAAGAGGGTGACTGTGCATTCTTGGGACTTCCTCCGGGAGCTGAAATTGTGTGGGGGTGGCCAAAAGATTCTCTGCCACTGGTAGTAGCTGCCAACCAGAATCTGAGACAGAGGGACGGCAGGGATTGATTAGTGATGTCTGCTGTGTGTAGGCTCTAGTGTTTTCTGTGTTTTCAATATTGGTCATTGAGTCCTTAGCTGGCAGAGTACTGCACTCGACCACTAGCCCAAAGGGTAGAGCTTTGAGTTTACCCGGAGGTGCGTCAGAAGAAGGGCTTGGCAATCTGCTTCCAGAAAGGGCACAACTTGGACATCTCTGTCGCGCACAGTTCTCCTCTGTCACACATCACACATGGGTTTACCATGAGGCAGGACGGACTCGGTAGTAACTTTCTTTTCTCCTTTTTTTTTTTCAATGAGTACTTGAATTTGGAGTCAGGCTAGAGTCTAGAGTTCAGTGGCCTTGGACAGCCTTCTTTGTTTAGAGGGAAAGGTCAGCATCGTGCCAACCACATAGGACTTCTTGAGGCTCTAGTGAGGCCAGGCCCACTGGTGCTCCTTTAGGCAGTGGTTGTGATGCCACCTTGGCTCGCTTCTCACTTGGAGTCACTGAGCTGGAGCACCCGAGGGTGGCACCCACCAGCGCCGCTTCTGTGTCGCCTGCCTCAGGCAGCTGTAGCCCCTGGAGAACCTCCCAACTGCACCAGGAAGTAGGAGTCTTGGTCTCCAGTTTCCAGAGGATGAAACTGAGGAAGCGAATACCTGGGCCCAGGGGAGAGTTCCTGGGGCTTAGAGAGGGGACACAGGCTCAGAAAGGAGACAGACCCAGGAGTGGGGCAGGGAGCATCTGGCCACAGGGTGACGGAATGTCACTCACGCTAGGCAGTGTTCCCTCGTTTCCCTTCATGGGGTCCTAGGGAGGCAGTGAGCGCAAGCAGCAGGCCTGGGGGTGGGCAGGCCACTGGGGTACGCAGTCAGGAAGTGAGCCCTTTGGGTCTGGAGCTATTGGGTCAAGCTTAGAGGCTTCCTGCCCGCAGCTGCTGCCTCCCTTCTCCCCACCACCCCCATCCCCACCCTACCCGGACCCTCTGCAGCGTCCCGGGCCGAGCCGACACGTGACATCCGCTGCGAGTTCTGTGGCGAGTTCTTTGAGAACCGCAAGGGCCTGTCGAGCCACGCACGCTCCCACCTGCGGCAGATGGGCGTGACCGAATGGTCAGTCAACGGCTCACCCATCGACACGCTGCGGGAGATCCTCAAGAAGAAGTCCAAGCCATGCCTGATCAAGAAGGAGCCCCCTGCAGGCGACCTGGCCCCAGCCCTGGCTGAGGAGGGGCCCCCTGGTTCCCTGCAAGGCCCCTTGCCACTGGCACCCCTGGTGAGCCGGCCTGGCAAACCAGGCGTGGGGCCTGCTCATATTCCCCGTGAGCTCAGCCTGACACCGATCACAGGGGCCAAGCCTTCAGCCACTGGCTACCTAGGGGCTGTGGCAGCCAAGCGGCTACTGCAGGAGGACCGCCTCCTCCCTGCGGAGGTCAAGGCCAAGACCTACATCCAGACTGAACTGCCCTTCAAGACCAAGACCCTCCATGAGAAGACCTCCCACTCCTGTAAGCGGTGGGTGGGAAGGGCCACGCGGGGCACACACTGGCCCCAGGCAGTGGCCCAGTGGGGAGGCCCCACGAAAGGCGGGATTGGCCCCTGGCCTATGGCCAGGTGTCGGGGTCCTCAGGGCTCCTCTGGGCTGTGGCTCAGTAGCACCCCTTCACCTGCAGCCACCGAGGCCTGCTGCGAGCTGTGTGGTCTCTATTTCGAAAACCGCAAGGCCCTGGCCAGCCATGCACGGGCGCACCTGAGGCAGTTCGGCGTGACTGAGTGGTGCGTCAATGGCTCGCCCATCGAGACGCTGAGCGAGTGGATCAAACACCGGCCCCAGAAGGTGGGCGCCTACCGCAGCTACATTCAGGGTGGCCGCCCCTTCACCAAGAAGTTCCGCAGCGCAGGCCATGGCCGCGACAGTGACAAGAGGCTGGCCCTCGGGCTAGCGCCCGGCGGTTTGGCCATGGTTGGCCGAAGCACTGGGGGTGAGCTGGGCTTGGAAGCCGGCCGGGCGGCTGATGGTGTGGAACGGCCTCTGGCAGCCAGCCCGCCAGGCCTGGTGAAGGCCGAGGAGCACCAGCGACAGAACATCAACAGTGAGTGCCCCCGGGCAGCACCCAGTCTCCCTCCCTCTGTCTGTCATTGAGCAAATGCCCCTCCACTCAAGCTCCCTGCCTTCCAGTCCATTCCAGCTCTTTGCAGCCCCATAGGGAATTGCCCCTCTAGTTTTCTGGGACTTTTAAGTCTTTATGGGAGTAAACAGCCTCGTCTTTCTATCAAGGAGTGGCTGGTAGGTCCAAACTGCCAACCCTGTGGTTCGTAGCACAGTGCAAGCGCACTGCACTCACTGCCAGGGCTCCTACATCCTGATTAGTGTCCTCATTTCATTTCATCTGCCACTACCCAACTGGGAGTCATTCATTACCTGTCCATCCTGTAGGATCCTCCCACCCATCGCCCACTGTCTTACTGACAAACCCCCACCGGTGTGTGTCCCCTGGTTGCTGAAGGCAGGGCCCTGGCCCTGGCTCATCTGCTGCCCTCATTCCCCACTCAGAATTCGAACGCAGACAAGCCCGGCCCCCGGACACAGCTGCAGCCCGGGGTGGTGATGAGGCTGGTGATCTACAACAGAAGTTGGAGGAGACTCGGCAGCCCCCACCCCGGGTCCGCCCAGTGCCCTCTCTGGTGCCCCGGCCCCCCCAGACCTCACTTGTCAAGTTTGTTGGCAACATCTACACCCTCAAGTGCAGGTACATGGGCCCCAGGGAGGAAGGGAGACCACCGGTGGGGGCCAAGCTGCCCAGAGCCTCTGGACAGCACCAAGTCTCAGCCATTGACTGTGGCTGGGCCCAGGCAAAGCTGAGGCTTCCCGGCTGATACCCTAAGGTGTGTGGCTGGTGAGTCCTGGGTTCGAATCCCAGCTGTGACATTTGCCAGCATACAACCTAGGACAGGAATTTACCTGTCCATGCCTCACTTACCCAATCTGCGAAACAGGCCATGGACAGACCTACCTAATCTGTTGTGAGGGTTGAAGGAATGCAATGTCTGTGCTTGAGCTTGGTGTCAGGAGGCCAAGGGGGAGGGTCTGGATGAGTGGACGTCTGAGGTGGTGGGTGCTAGTTCCTTCTCCGGTTCTGCAGCCCCTTGACCTAAAGGGACTGCCCTCTTCCATAGCTCCTTTAGAAGGGGTGCTTGGGAGGCCAAATGTACTTGGGAGAACCCGAGAGACAGAGACAGTGCCCTGAGCAGAGACAGGGCCCTCCAGGAGACCCATGAGGGTTATAGGTGGCTATCCAGTGGGACTATTCGGCTTCCAGGACCCTTCCTCTCAACTCTTGAGCTTGCTCTATCCCCACAGCATAGAGCAGGTATGTCTGGTGCCCTGGGCTCGCCTAGGGTCCTCAAGACGTGGAGGGCTGTGCTTCTGCCTCTCCTGATGGCAGGGGCCCCTCCTCCCTCTGTTCCATCCCACAGGTTCTGTGAGGTGGAATTCCAAGGCCCCCTCTCCATCCAGGAGGAGTGGGTGCGGCACTTGCAGCGGCACATCCTAGAGATGAATTTCTCCAAAGCAGACCCCCCGCCCGAGGAGCCCCAGGCCCCACAGGCACAGACAGCGGCGGCAGAGGCGCCCTAACAGAAGCATTCCAGACTCCCGCTCTTGCCACCTCTGTGTCCTCCTCGTCATTGTCCTCCTCCTCCTCCTCTCTGTCCTCTTCTTCCTCTTCCTTCTTTTCCAAAGGAGCAAGCCAAAACCTCAAACCGGCGCCCCCCAGGGGCCGGGCACACTACAGCTGGGGCTCCGGCAGCCAACTAGCTGCCCGTTCCCCAGCCTGAGGATCTGGGGCTGCAGGGTGTGTCTTCTGGGTGCCCAGCAGCCAGGCAAGGCTGTGGCTGCCAGGGTGGCCGTTTGCAAAGACCCCTGACCTGGTTCCCGCTCACCCTGTGACTCTCTTCTCACATGCAAACACAGACTCATGCTCAAGGCCCGGGATCTGCCCCAGCCCCCCAGTTCCCGCGTCAGGCAGCCCCGTCATGCCATGGTGCTTGCTCAGGGGAAGCCATGCTCCCTCGGCTGGCCACACACACACACACACACACACACACCTGCCCCCAGGGATCAGGAGGCCCCCACTGAGCCCTCAATGCCACGGAAACCCTCATTGGCCTACCCCCTCCCATAAGGCCTTCCCAGCTGGGAAGAGCCCAGAGCTGACAGCTGTGTCCTGCCATCTCCAGGCCCACCCCACCCCCACCCAGAGCCTCGGGCCCCTGGGTGGTGGGGCGTGAGACTCCTCCCCTATGCCCAGTCCCCCCCTTCTTACCTTTTCACTGTTGCTCTCTATGTATAGCTCCCTAGAATTTTCACTTTTTAAAAAAGGTGTTTTGTGTAGAAAATAAGGAACGTTGATCTTTTTATTTTGCAGTCCTGGGCCAGGTAAACACCAGGAAGGCAGATTGACCTTTTAACTTTTTCCAGTGGCCACCTTTTGGTTATCGATGTACCTAGAAGTCTGTAAATTAGATTAAATTTCTCTTCTGGAAACACACTGGGGCAAGCAGCCAGCGTGCGTGTTTGTTACGTGGGCAGGCCGGCTTTGGCCACCAGCCCAGGCTGGATCCGGCCTTAGGCTTCTGTTGGCTGTCAAGCTGACCGGGGCTAGCTGGGGATGAGCCCATTGCCCAGCTGGTGGCCCTCAGCGCCCTGGGTGGTGGTGGTGGGGGTTCTGGCTGGAGTGTGAGCAGAGATGGCCCAGGAAGCCGGGCTGGGAGGGGAGCCAGGGCTGGGAAGCTAGACAGAGGCTGTCGGAGTTTTCCCAGGACAGGCTGTCCAGCAAGGGTGGGGCCCTGCTGGGGAAGGAGGAGCATGCCGGTGGCCAGTGTGGGGGGACGCCAAGCAGGAAGGACCTGTCTGGAGATGGCGACACAGGCTGCCTGAGCTCAGGTCACACAGGGAAGGGCAGGAGAGCATTGAGCGCTGCTATTTCGCCCTGACACTGCAGGCGGTGGGTGAACATCTGTGAGATTTCAGGAGAGCTTGGCTGGCCCCTGGCTGGTGATTGCATGCTGTTTGTTTTGTTTTGTTTTTTAGTTTTTTTCTCTTTTTCTCCAAAATAAGCCCAGACCATTAACAAGTGAAACTCCAACAAATAAGTCTTCTTCAACAGCGCGCAAAACCGTACAGTTACTCAAAGCTGATTCTGCCAATGGGGCTGGGGCA